ATCCTGGGAAATTAGGTTAGCATCCGAAGTGAAAATACTTCTTCCCTGGTTTACCGCTCTAAAAAATAACGTAGGACTTAATCCGTGGATAGACATGAGCGACTACACCGTTGGCCGGAGCACATGATAGTTATGAATCTTGAATGAGTAGCGGCTAGATCTATATATATGTATGTATATATATATATATATATATATATATATATATATATATATATATATATATATATATATATATATACACAACGTCTGATAATTAAGTAGTGAGACTGATTTTATAATTGCTAAGACAAAAGTGCCTTCTACAAGGCAAAGCATGAAATCTAAAGAGGCAACATTCACCTATGATCTAGCAACTTTTCATCGCCGCTCGATAAGCAGACAACAAACAAGCCGCCATTTTGTTGATCTAGTCAGAGGTGCTTTGTTGCGTAGTCAGCACAGAGCAAAAAGCTGAAATTAAATTCCTTTTAAAACTCAGATAAAGCGCCATTGAAACGGTTGAATTGATGCAACCAGTTTATGGGGATAATTGTTTCTCTCGTGCAAAAATGTTCAGGTGTTTCACGATTCAAAAGTGGTGTGGAAATGATTACTAATGCAATCAGACATAGACGCCAAATTTCTGTTCGTAATGATGAAACTCACTGCAAAAGTCACAGAACCGATACAAGAAGATAATTTTATTTAAGTGAGGGCCGATGAATCTGGTGTTAATAGAGAGACCATTCATAACATTTTAGTGCAAGATGTTGGCAAGGAAAAAGTTGCTTGCCGGTTTGTACCACACTCGTTGTCTGATGAAAATAAGTGTGTAATCTCAGCCTTCCACCCTATTCTCCCTAATGGTCTCCCTGTGATTATTTTCTATTCCCAAAATTAAAGTTCTGATTGAAAGGACGCTTCTTTAACGATATTGATGACATCTTAAGGGACGTAACATCGACTTTAAGGGGCCATAACAACAGAAGAACTACATAGGTCGTTCCCGTGTTTGTTAGATCGTGCCACTTGCTGTCTCAATGCACAAGCGGCTTACTTTGAGTAAAATACAGATTATATCTTCAACTGTTGATTATTTTAATTTTTATGGAATTAGTCTCATTACTGTCGGAACTTGTATATATGTTTTAGTCTTATAGACCAATAAATATTTATTGCTTTTTAAATATAAATATGCATATGTATATATACATATAGCTTAACACTTTCCGTCCTTTTAAGGATGGAATTTTTCGTTTTTTAAGCCCTACTCTGGCTCTTGCCAGGGGCCGCAATATAGCCTGGCCATGAATATGGCCTAAAGGATGAACGCGGTTTCTGGAACCTCTCCACGGTGATCCTCACCCACATTGTGTCATCAGGTGTTTATCGCTTGTGTGATGTCCTGGTGGGGTAGAAAGTCAGTCAGTCAGTCTTCATACAAATAGCACCATAATGAAAATAACTAGGAACAGATTGTTGCATCATATTGTCATCCCTTTGTGGGATGCAATTTTTCGTTATTTGAAGCCCTACTCTGGCTCTTGCCAGGTGTCGCAATATAGCCCGACCATAAATATGGTCTAAAGGCTGAACACGATTTCTGGGACCTCTCCACGGTGATCTTCACCCACATCGCGGCACTTTGTGTCATCAGGTGTTTATCGCTTGTGTGATGTCCGAGTGGGGTAAAAATCTACTACTACTACGATACATATAGCACCATATGCACAATAAATAGCAAGAGCGTGTTGATTCATATTTTTTTTTTTTAATTCTCATTTGCCACTTGTTGCGTTTTAGTAAAATATGAATGTCTCCGCAACGAAATAAACTACCTAATAATATCCAATTTCGTCCTTTTAAGGACGAAAATTTTTGTCATTTGAAGCCCTACTCTGGCTTTTGCCAGGGGCCGCAATATAGGCAGGCCATACATATGGCCAAATGTCTGAACGCGGTTTCTGGGACCTCTCCACGGCGATCCTCATCCGCATGGTTGCACTTTGTGTCATCGGGTGTTTATCGCTTGTGTGATGTCCTGGTGGGGTAGAAAGTCAGTCAGTCAGTCAACGAAATAAACACAGTGGGTTCAATTGATGGACCTGTCGTTCAGTTTGCTGGTGCAATTTTTATGCAGATCCCTAGAGCTACGGGCTCAAACAAATAAACTTCCTAAGGAGCACAGCTCGTTTGATCGAATGGTCGGTTCTCTTCGGGTTTATCACCTGAGATGGAAACAAAAGTCTCAGTCTGGATGAGGGACCAAAAAGACAGATCCCAAATATCTCATTCAACCTCAAAAGAAGTTATAATTAGGGCCCCAGGATGGTGTAACCTGCAGTCCTGTGTGGATAAGGACGTAAACAGTTCTTGTGGGTTCAGGAACCCCAGTTTTAGTGTGTGTGTAGGAGGGAGGGGGGGGGGTAGTGAACAGAATCACTGATGCATAAAAAGCAAGTTATCAACGGCGAATAATTAGTGGGGTTTTCATCAAAGTCTGAATGCATCTCTCCCTGAGAGGCAAGGAACCAGCAATCTGCACACAAACAAGCCACGTATGCCAAATTTAAGTTCTGAGCAAGAAAGACGTTCACAAATGGACGAAACATCACCATTTAGCCACCCCCTCCCCCCATTTTTTTTTTCTCATCCAGCTAAAGTAGAGAGGATCAACTTCGTTGCATCGGATTCAATCCAAATGGCTCAGCCGTTCTCCGAAGAACAGCTCACCAGGTGCAGAGAGCATTTCACCAAGCACGAATGTCCTTTCTTTGTCATCAAAATATCTTATCTTTTCTTTGATCTGACCTGAGATTGTTGCATCTTGACCTTGCTGCTAATTTAGCAACAGGTCATTGGGTATTTCAGGGCCAAACAAAGCGCTGAACAAGAAGAAAAAGAGGAAGAAGAACAAGAACAAGAAGAACAAGAAGATAAAAAGAAGAAGAAGAAGAAGAAGAAGAAGAAGAAGAAGAAGAAGAAGAAGAAGAAGAAGAAGAAGAAGAAGAAGAAGAAGAAGAAGAAGAAGAAGAAGAAGAAGAAGAAGAAGAAGAAGAAGAAGAAGAAGAAGAAGAAGAAGAAGAAGTAGAAGAAGAAGAAGAAGAAGAAGAAGAAGAAGAAGAAGAAGAAGAAGAAGAAGAAGAAGAAGAAGAAGAAGAAGAAGAAGAAGAAGAAAAGTGAGAAGAAAGAGACTAAAAACAATAACATCAACAACAACAACAACAACAACAACAAGAAAGATGAACATAATAACATCTCACACAGTGTATTAATATTCAAGGAACCGAGACAATAAAGTTTTAAATTTTTGTTTCAAATTCAAGCAGTTTTGAAAAAGCAAACATTCTCTCATTACAGGACAAAAAGTGCCCTGAAATCATATAGAAGTTAATATATTAAGTTATAATTATGCATTCTTTCTTCACCACTCTTTCCTTACATGTAAAACTTATTCGATACTTTACAACAACAACAACAACAACAACAACAACAACACTTTTTTTTTTCCATCGTTTTGTTGTTGTCTGTGTGTGGATGATTTATAGACCGAAATATTTTCATCAAGGTGCCATATACATTCTGAAAAATAATCCATAAGATAACCTTCACTTTTGTGTGACTGTTTGACTTGTAGATGTTCATTGCTGGAGAAGTTAGGTACTTTCTTATGAAGGAGTGCAGGTGGCACCTGACTGGTGCAGCCGTTACCTGTGCCCTAATTATGACTTTTTGCAGGTTGAACGGGGTATCTGGGATCAGCCATCTAGGTCTGTTGTCCAGGCTGAGATTTAATTATTTCAGGATGGTATGCTAACACTCCTCGGTAGCAGCCTAGAGAGGACAAACTTCTCGATCGTGGTTAAGTTGTAAACACACAGAAGACAGTTGCCAGTGGTTGGTCGAGCGTCGGAGTACACTTGTTCCTTTAACCAGGAGCCGTTGTGACTCGAAGACAAAAGATGTCAATAACCGTGTGGTTACAAAAAGTATTAAATTGTGTGTACTCTATCTAATGTGTCCTCTAAACTTATTGTCTTCCTCTGCGTCTAAGAGAGCGGATCAATACCTGTGTAAACATGCATCCCGCTATTCTACCTTTAGTTCTTCCGTGTGTCTGTAAACACATCTCTCCGATCTGCTTCCTGTAGGTTTGAACAACCCTTGAGACTGCACGAATCTCGTCCTGGATGGCACACCAACAGAAGACATCCTAAATACCCCGTTCAACCATGAAGGACGTTAAAACTAGGTTAGACGGTATACTGTTCGTGTTCGCGGTAGTCAGTCATGTGTGGGTACACATTGTTATTGATGGTGCTACAATGTCGATACAAGCGTCAGTCAGTCAATGTGACCCCACCAGGACATCACACAAGCGATAAACACCCGATTACACAAAGTGCCATCATGTGGATGAGGATCACCCGTGGAGGGGTCCCGGAAACCGCCTTCTGCCATTAGGCCATATTTATGGCTGGGCTATATTGCAGTCCCTGGAAAAGAGCCAGGGCGGGGCTTCAAAATAACGAAAAATTAGATCCACGAGGGAATTTTAATACAAACATACATCTAGCAAGTATATATGTCATGACAAAAACAGCAATTTTCCTTACATTACATTTTGAATGAGTTAATCCGTTTCAGCTTAGACACAGTTTATGATGCTCATATGTGATTACTGAGTGAGAGTTAAACATTTTTTTTTATTTTACCGTACAACCCACATTTTCTACATTTACCACATAATTACGGTTGTCCTAATTGTTAAGCAAAACTTCTTTACTCAAGGGGACACAATGATGCCAATTATTAAGAGTTTTTTCTGATTAAATAATTTTTTGAATCATTTGTGAAAGTAATTAATATATAATGAAACCACAATTTTAATGTTTCTAAATCATGGGTTCATTGGTAATTTATATTTGTAATTGTAATTTTCAATAAAGATTAAGCTTGAAAAAAAAAATAATAAAGCATGATAAACGTTTATGTCCCCTGGTCCGTGAGAGTTGCGGTTACTTGCAGCCGCAGCCGCTGCCACACTTGCACGATCCACTTCCGGTGCACTGGTTTCCACATTTGCAGCTATCCGCTGTAAATGATAAGTGATCATACCTTTAGTTAACCACTTGTACATACACAAGACAGGTGATACCTGCAGTGACACTAGTACAGGCTCTAACCCTTATAAGCAACAACAACAAAAAAACTTTTTCGCGTCTTTCCGCACTGGGCATATAGTGCGGCACCCATACTTTTATAGACCAGTCAAATCATTCAATATCACACCGACAGTCTTTATTTCCCAGACATTTTCCTGGTGCACGTGTTAAGCTGGGTTTACGTGACAGTCAAGTAAATTTTTTAATTTTTTTAACTATCTGCCTTTATGCAGATGTGGACCACAGAATCCCCGAGTGGATTCTGTTGCCTTTTCCCCTCCTCCGTCTCCTGTAACAAGCATGTCGTAAAAGCAGAAAAATTAATAGTGTCTCTAACGAGTGCATCTGCCTAAGAGGCGAGGATCCAAAAATGTGCAAACAAATTAGCCAGATATGCAAGAAGGATGTACCGGCAAAACTATAGTTATAAAACTAGTCTAAATTTCAGAAATGGGTGAACAACCAGAATTTTACGCCGGAGTTTACAGCCTGTTAACGCTAAAAAGAAGAGTTACAGCAGACGGGTATCAGGTCAGAACTCTACCGGCGATTGTTAATCTTGAATAGTGACAAGTGGTAAGTCGTCCAATACACCCTCCCAAGTCAATACACAAATATGTGTTTGATCTCCTTAGCTTGTTTGAAAGATAATAATTATCTTACATAATTCTATCACGGTTGTTTCATTGATAATAATTATCTCAGATACTGCTATCCCAATTGTTCGTTTTATTGATAATAATTATCTCAGATAAGTCTATCCCAATTGTTCGTTTTATTGATAATAATTATCTCAGATAATTCTAACCCAGTTGTTCGTTTTATTGATAAGAATTATCTCAGATAAGTCTATCCCAATTGTTCGTTTTATTGATAATAATTATCTCAGATAAGTCTATCCCAATTGTTCGTTTTATTGATAATAATTATCTCAGATAAGTCTATCCCAATTGTTCGTTTTATTGATAATAATTATCTCAGATAAGTCTATCCCAATTGTTCGTTTTATTGATAATAATTATCTCAGATAAGTCTATCCCAATTGTTCGTTTTATTGATAATAATTATCTCAGATAAGTCTATCCCAATTGTTCGTTTTATTGATAATAATTATCTCAGATAAGTCTATCCCAATTGTTCGTTTTATTGATAATAATTATCTCAGATAAGTCTATCCTAGTGGCGTGTGTAATCAAGCCAGTCGGCTTTACAACCGAGTTTACCATACTCGTCTACGAGAACGGGCACGATGGTCATGCGTTCGAACCCCCATTGAGACATATTTTCAAACTGACCTCGGCTCCCAGATTAAATGGTATGACGCTTATACCATATTTCTAATAAGCTGTGGAAGTGCGACCTACCTTAAAGATGATGATTGCAAAAGAGGATTCAGCATGGGCCAGTAGGAGTTAATATAATATCACTTTTAGGTAGAAGGGGTTAAAGTGAGAATTGGGATGTCCGGTGAAACTAACGAACTGGTGGTGCGTTGCTAGAAGTTGAGTGAGTTAAAGAATGGCAGGACGCCTTTGCTCCGAGGCTTACATCTGTGGGGTGAAGCCTGCTTCATCAAATGGTGAGGGTTCGTTTCACGATGTGTGGACACTTCTGTAAGATAAAAACGAAGCAAATAGCCACATGTCCCCGTTATGCAGGTTCCTAACACTTGACCCTCAACGCGAGACAATCTTTAAATTTTATTTCTCTAATCTAGAAACTTGATGGCGTTTTTTCATTTAAAAATTTTTTTTCAAATGTTTTTTTTTTTTTTTTTTTCGAATTTTTATAACATGCAACTAGATAGCTCACGATAAGGGAACCAAAAAGACGACTTTGCATACATTGCAACGTTTCGGCCAAAGTTTTAGCACCAAGTTCTCAATATAACACACAATGGAACTGCACCATATAACGGACAAGACTACAAAAGTTGTGTATAGTTTCCCAGACAAGTAAAGTATTAGAGATATTGCGACACATTCAATGAAATAGATTCAAGAAAGGCGATGAAACAAGTGAACTGTCTGCATCAATTGTTATAAGAATCCACATTACGAGGAAAGGCTGATATAGAAGCACTAAACAGGCACTGAAATATGAAACAAATGCATCAAGGAAAAGAGGAAGACCAAACGAAATCCTCAGAATGACAAAGTTAACAGAAGCCTCATATGCCCATGTTTTCTTTAAACTGTCCGTTATACAAAATAATGGACGATTACTACCCCCCCCCCCCCCCCCCATCTCTCTCTTTTTTTTCCCGCAGAGGCATGACAGAATAATAAAAGCGATGCAACAACGGATGTTTTTGCATCCCACCGAAGTCTTTCTGGCCGCAACTTTGGTTGTTCACACACCTCTCTCTCTCTCTCTCTCTCTCTCTCTCTCTCTCTCTCTCTCTCTCTCTCTCTCTCTCTCTCTCTCTCTCTCTCTCTCTCTCTTCTCCTCCACTGGTAGTTATATTCTTGTAAGGTTAAAAAAAAAAAATTTTTATCTTTTTTTTTATCCTGTAATTGTGTAGATTTACTGCAGTTCTACTGTGCTAGAATTTTCCAAAAAATGACATTCAGCAATGATAGAGAACCTACCGGTGCACTTGCAAGTGTTGCACTCAGCGCAGGTGCACCCGGTACCACACTGGCAGGCCTGGCCACAGCTGCAAGGGTTGCTGTTGCAGGCGCCACCACAGTTGGATCCTGAGGGTACAAGTAAGATACGTCAGTGGAAGACAGTGAAACAATTCTTCTGCTTTTTCTTCTTCTTCTTCTTCTTCTTCTTCTTCTTCTTCTTCTTCTTCTTCTTCTTCTTCTTCTTCTTCTTCTTCTTCTTCTTCTTCTTCTTCTTCTTCTTCTTCTTCTATTTCTTCTTCTTCTTCTTCTTCTTCTTCTTCTTCTTCTTCTTCTTCTTCTTCTTCTTCTTCTTCTTCTTCTTCTTCTTCTTCTTCTTCTTCTTCTTCTTCTTCTTCTCGTTCTTCTTCTTTTTCTTCTTCTTCTTCTTCTTGTTCTTCGTCTTGTTCTTCTTCTTCTTCTTCTTCTTCTTCTTCTTCTTCTTCTTCTTCTTCTTCTTCTTCTTCTTCTTCTTCTTCTTCTTCTTCTTCTTCTTCTTCTTCTTCTTCTTCTTCTTCTTCTTCTTCTTCTTCTTCTTCTTCTTCTTCTTCTTCTTCTTCTTCTTCTTCTTCTTATTCTCGTCCTTCTTCTTCTTCTTCTTCTTCTTCTTCTTCTTCTTCTTCTTCTTCTTCTTCTTCTTCTTCTTCTTCTTCTTCTTCTTCTTCTTCTTGTTCTCGTTCTTCTTCTTCTTCTTCTTCTTCTTCTTCTTCTTCTTCTTCTTCTTCTTCTTCTTCTTCTTCTTCTTCTTCTTCTTCTTCTTCTTCTTCTTCTTCTTCTTCTTCTTCTTCTTCCTCTCCTTTCTCTTTTTCTTCTTCTTCTTCTTCTTAGTTTGTCCTAAAATCTGCCTCCAATATGTTTTCACCAAGTTCCTTACTGGTGGCCTTTTACGATATGCTTAAACATTGCTAGTGCACTTTGTAATTACGCGCTACAGCGTTCGATCCAGCTGGAGTCGCTTAGGCAGCCGACCGCCTTGCGTTGATTTCGACAGGGCAGTCGAGAGCCTAACATTCCGGAAGTAATGGCAAACTTAAGGAAAGCAAATTTGTAAAAAAAAAAAAACAAGCAAATACAGTGGTTGGTTCTGCGGCGTCCTGTAAGGGATGCGCAACTAACATTTTATAGGAAGGAATGGATTCGAAAATGTGATTACAACAATCATGTTGGTGGCTACAGACCGGGGGTGGAGGGGACCCAGAGATAAAAACCTGTCTGTCTTTATCATTTTCATCTAGAACACTGACTTGATCGACACAAGCGCTGGAAGATGGCGGTGGGTGTGACGAGCTGGTCTGGACAGCTGTTTCCTCCCTTTTAAAAATTGCTTTGTTTAAGTGATATTATCAGCAAATTTGTAAACATGTGTTTATTGCTTTTTATTAGCATTTATAATACTTAATTAAGAAGTTAAAAGGCGAATGAGATGATAAGTAGTACAAGGAGTACCTCAAGAGTTACTTCCCCTTTTTAGGATTTCCTACGTTTATTTTCAAAGAGAACACTTAGTTAGCTAGACGGTTCTCTGTCTGCTTATGACTGTTATAATTTATAACTCCTTACGTCCTTTTCAGGACGTAATTTTTTGTTATTTGAAGCCCCACTCTGGCTTTTGCCAGGGACCGCAATATAGGCAGGCCATAAAAATGGCCAAATGTCTGACCGCGGTTTCTGGGACCTCTCCACGGTGATTCTCATCCACATGGTGGCACATTGTGTCATCGGGTGTTTATCGCTTGTGTGAAGTCCTGGTGGGGTAGAAAGTCACTCACTCACTCTGCTTATGACTCAGCAGTATAACCCACTGCAGTCACCATTGTGTGTTTGAATTCCCTACCACGGTTCCAGATACTAGTTCCAGATGGTAGTTCCAGGTGGGAGTTCCAGAAGTAAATCCTAGCGTAGCTGCAGATGCCCGATTGTCTGGACTGGACTGGAAAATCGGCCTGCCGCATGTGTCTCTGAGGCTTAGCTAGAAGCTGACCAAAGAACCGCAAGCTACAGCTAAGTGGACAGATTTGTACACTAACCTCATATAAAAGGATTTTATCTCCACAGCCAATTTAAATATTAGATAGAATTTTCCAAATAAATGTTACAGTTTTAATGTTCCTACAGTTTTATGGAGTTTTATTTTTAACTGTAATCATTTGTGTTAGTGAACTTAAGAACATTTAAATATACAAGTTTTTTAACAGTAGGGAATCAGATGTGGGCAATTCCGAATCCTCTCATTTAACCAGCAAGGCTGGTGGTATTATAAAACCTTTATGATGATTCACAGTTTGTATTCCCTCTGCAAATTGCACATAGTGCAATCGCTAGTGTAAAGCGAGTTAACCCGCCACAGTGGGAGAAGGGAAAATGGAGTTGCATGTCGCTGTTTGTGTGTTTTGCTGATAACTAGAACAAAATAGACCTTGATGTAAACATCGAGGAGAGCTGGCTCATAAACAGCATCCTGTAAGGAATGCTGAAGTATTTTGGTCATGTGAAACATGAGGATGGCTTGAAGAGAACGGTGGTCGAGGCTACAGTTTCTGGAGCACGAGGCAGAAGCAGACGCCCTCGAAGATGAATACAAGACACTGAAGATGCATTAGCTATTAAAAAACATGGGGACTACGGAAGTTGCCGGAGAAAGAAATACTTTCAAGCGTGCTGTGACGAGAGCGACGTTCTGTAAGAGACCTGATGATTGATGATGATGATGAAGGATTCTTGCCGACTAGATGTACGTCCTATGTCTATGCTCCATAGAACCCCATATCTGGTATTGTAAGTCAATCAACTCGATGAGATCTCTTTATGTCAGCGTCGCTGACCATTTAAAATCTTATCTCCTGGTCTGTTTCTAGGCTGCGTGGTGTTGGTAGTTATAGGATTAATACTCATTTGCCTGGTGTACTTTCAGTCAGTTCTGACACGGATAATCTTCCGTCATGGTGTTCAGCTGTTCGTTCAGCATAGCCTCTTGTGCTTTTATTCTAACTCCAACCACCAACCCCCCCCCCTCCCCTTCTCCCCGTCCCCCTCCCATCCCCTCCAAATTTGTATACGCTGTTACGATGTAATTCAGTTTTCTCCTTCCTATGAAATGACCAGAGAAAATAGATTGTATGATACGGGTACTATTTTTTTTTCCAAATTTGTCCATAATATTCTCATCATTCGTCTAAAAAACAACATCGCCGCTTTCAATTATTCTTTAGAAAACTAAATTGATAGCGCCATATCTACCAATGTACAAAACAATAATTAACAACAACAACAAAAATAAAAGAGTCAGGAAAATAAGACAACTGCGACAACGACAACAGTCTCAGCAACAATGATAAACAAAATAGGATTCCCCCCCCCCCCACACACACACACACACACACACACACACACACACACACACACACACAACCCTTCCCCATTTTCCCACTCCTTACGTCACTGGCGATAGACTGAACTATGAAGGCAGCAACTGCTAACACAAGGAATGAACTCAATGAACACCTAGAAAACAGCTTGATAAACATCGCTGATGATATTCTCTTCTGTCCTACTCAACGAATCAAATGCAAGATAAAGGCAATATACTTGATGCGAGATAACAAAAGCTTGGTCTGAAAATGCATAAGGGAAAGACAAGTATGATGAGAATAGACAAAGCAATTAGTAATGAGGTTTTTCTTAATGGTATCAAACTTGAAGAGGTGGAGTCACACCTATTTGGTCAGCAGTTTAGATATGAACCAGCGAACTGACAGAGATATTAAAATAAGAATACAAAAGGCAAGAAGAGCTTTCATAGCACTCGGACATTTGTAAAGGTCAAAAGAAATTAATAATACAAAACCTGCATTCTTATTTCTAATGTGAAATTAGAACTACTGCGAGGAGTGCAAACATGGAAAGCCACTGAAAGCAAGTACTGTAGTAATAAACTACAAACATTGATTAACTGGTGCCTAAAGGGAGTTAAATGGTATGATAGAATCACGAACATTGAACTCTGGAAGAGCGCTAAACAAGTTCCAGTGAACCAAGAGGGAAAGAAAAGACGCTGACGTTGGATAGGACACCCGTTGAGAAAACCTGATAACAATATAACTAGAACGTCTCTGTACTAAAACGCACAGACAGGGGCATAGAAATAAAGGCAAACACACACACACACACACACACAAACACACACAAACACACACACACACACACACACACAAACACACACCCACACATTGAAAAAGGGGGCTGGAGAGTAAAGTTAACTGTCACTGGGAGGACATGGGGTAAGTTGCATGCAACAGCTAAGTACAGACAGATTTAGTCTGAGTTTGTTGAGGGTCTATGCTTGATTAGGACAGAAAGAAGGCAAAAAAAGAGCCTCCCAGAAACTAAAACGAACAGACATATTACCGGACACGACTAGTCTCACCTCGTCCACTCATTATAGGATGCGAAGTTTTCTGGTCTGAGTCTAAACTTTGGGAGTTGAAATGATCACTTCTTGCGCTTGATCGCGATTGAATGACGCTGCGCCAGGGTACTGTGCATTTATGCATGTCCTGCACACGGATTTACTCCGATGCTCACGCGCTCTGTTGCACACGATGACACCAAATCTCTTGTGGGTTGCGGTGACCCAAAAACTTAAGTCATTCGTGAATGATGAAACCTGTAGAAACTACGTGTTTGTTTCACAAATATCAAGTATCACTCTAATTGAATGAAATAAGGTTAGCGGCTGCAAGTCGGTGAAATTGCGATGAGCAAAAAAAGCAAATTCGAGACGTATAAAGAATTAGCTTTATGAACATACTGTCAAAAATAGAGCAAGACGTAGCGTCGACAAATCTTTCTTCAGCAAACAAAAACAACTTACAAAGCGAGACTAAAAGAAACGTGTGACAAAGGAACACTTACACAGATAAAAATAATATGAAGGTAAACAATAATAACTACACAGCTAAAATAACGACTTTTCCTCTTTGTCTGCTTCAGTACTCTTGGCCGTTGAGGTTTGTTGCTGCAGATACCACCCGTCTCCATCTATGTCTACGAATGGCCTTGGCTTTGCAGCTGTGACTCAATGTGTGTCTCTTAATTTCCACATTTGGCCAGTGACAACTTGAGAAGAATGATTCCCAGAAACCTAAATTATCTGTTTAATTTAGTTTAAATTATATGTTTAGTGAGTTGTATGGTTTAAATCTGACTAGTTAGTTAGGATTTGGTTGTTTAAGTGGTTTGCTGGCTAAATAATTGGTTGGTTGAATGGTTGACTTTCTACATTGTTGTCTGGCTAAATTGTTAGCTAGTAAAATGGTTGGCTGGTTGACTGGTTGGCTAGTAAAATGGTTGGCTGGTTAAATGGTTGTCTGGTTAAATGGTTGGCTAGTAAAATGGTTGCCTTAGTAACTGGTTGATTACTAAAATTGTTGGAGGGTTAAAGTGTTGGCTGGTTAAATTGTTGGCTGGTTAAATGGTTGGCTGGTTAAATTGTTGGCTGGTTAAAAGGTTAGCTGGCTGGTTGGTTGCAGTTAGGCTAGTTGGATGGCTGGTTAGTTGCATAGTTGTATTCAATTGAATAGTTATTGTGTTGCTTGATAAGTTGAGCTTGAAGTAATAATTACTTGTGATATAAAGTAAGCATAAAAATGGTTGGCACTATCAAAACCTAAAGTAACAAAAATAAATTACAGAAAGGATTCAGTCAATGCTCTGCACTCGCGTCCCTCAGTCAGACTTGATAGCGCCTGCTCTACATGTTTTCTGTGTCACACTTGCACACTGTTTTGCGGTTTTTGTTTTTGCACTCACTCTGCACACGAGACGTGTTTTCTGCGGGAAAATGCCTGTTTCTTTTCTTTCTTCTGCTCCCATATACTGAGTAAAGTTTCTTCTATCATTACGTCAGTCGTGCAGAAGTGTATGTTTACCAACGTCTAGACCAGGGGTCTCCATCCAGAGGGCTGATTGATGCTTACTTGGAAAAGGGGGGGGGGGGCGGAAGAGGGGGGGGGGATTATCGCAAAGAAGTTTTGAGGGGCATCAAACAATTTCAAAGGGAGCGCATTTGTATCTGTAATGTTTAGCTATTGTTACATTTTTCAGTTTCATTATCAATAAAATATCTTCAAAAGCTTTTTATTAAATAAAATAGTGGGGACATTTTGTTCTTTTCGTGACCATGAGGGTCTGCCCATATACTAAAAGGAAAGAGGGGGGGGGGGGTTCATGACATATACTCATGGAGGCATGGAACTTTTGATATACACCCAAAGCCGCATGGGGGTCTTGTCATACATCCAAGGCCACATGGGGGTCTTTTCATACCCCCAAGGCCCCATGGGGGTCTGTCATACACACAAGGCCGCATGGGGGTCTTGTCATACACCCAAGGCCGCATGGGGGTCATGTCATACACCCAAGGCCGCATGGGGGTCTTGTCATACACCCAAGGCCGCATGGGGGTCTTGCCATACACCCAAGAGGACGAAGGGTTCATGTCATATACTTAAGATGGGTGCCAGCTGAAAAAGGTTTGGAGCCACTAATTAGGACTATTTATTTTTGTCACTCAGATGCTTTCTGCAATGGATATCTAATGGATTGGCTGCAATGGATATCTGATGGATTGGCTGCAATCGATATCTGATGAATTTATTGCAATGGATATCTGTTGGATTTATTGCAATGGATATTTGATTGATTTATTGCAATGGATATCTGTTGGATTCATTGCAATGGAGATCTGATGGATTTATTGCATTGGATATCTGATGGATTTATTGCCATGGATATCTGATGGATTTACTGCAGTGGATATATGATGGATTTATTGCAATGGATATTTGATGGATTTACTGTAATGGATATCTGATGGATTTACTGCAATGGATATCTGATCGATTTACTGCAATGGATATCTGATGGACTAGAGTATGCAGCCATATCATTAAATTCTGCAGCCAAGTCACTAGAATTTGAAGCCAGTTCAGTGGAGTTTGGAGCCAAGTCACAGGAGTTTGCAGCCAAGTCACCATAGTTTTGAACCGGTTTACTGTAGTTTGGAACCAAGTCACCAGAGTTTGGAGCCGTCATTGTAGTTCAGAGCCAAGTGATTTGAGTTTGGAGCTAAGTCACTGGAGTTTGGAGCTAAGTCACTGGAGTTTGGAGCTAAGTCACTGGAGTTTGGAGCTAAGTCACTGGAGTTTGGAGCTAAGTCACTGGAGTTTGGAGCTAAGTCACTGGAGTTTGGAGCTAAGTCACTGGAGTTTGGAGCTAAGTCACTGGAGTTTGGAGCTAAGTCACTGGAGTTTGCAGCAAAGTCACCAGTATCTGCTCAGGGACCCCCACAGACTTACAACCCGAAACCTGGAAACTTTGTGACCGACTTCAGAAATCTGTTCTTCGTCTGCGTTCGCTCCTTCAAGAGACCTTTAGCACGTTCTTTTTGCAGCCAGTTTGCGATACCCTTTAGGTCCAACTTATCCGATTACAACAACAAACGTAGTACTCTCGTATGGCATGTTTGCTTGGTGCATTAGATCTTTCCCACCAAAAACATGTGGCCCAGAAGCCTACACCTGGAGAAAACAATACATGGAATACGATATCACTGATAGTGCTCCACTGTTTGAGAGACTCGGCTAGAAATTTAGTAAAGAAGATACCGTCGGGCCAGTAAAGGCAGAAAAGAAAGTAAGAGGATAAAGAAGAATACGAAAGTAAAGTAGTAAATCACAAGAAGCTAGCAACACAGAAATGTTAGAAGTTTTTTTTTTTTTTTTAAGAAATAAGCAACAGAAAATTGCGATGGTGGTGGAAATGGCTCACTGGTTAAATTGTTTAGCCGAGTTTTATCAGCTCTAGAGGTCCTGGGTTTTGCTCAAACTCTATCATTCAGGTCACGCCTGCTGGAGTTTCTGAAGTCCCTCGTGAACATTGCTGGAGCGGCAACGTTTCGTGCTTTGTAAAACCTATCACTGATGGGGAACAGTAGCTCTGCGAAGAGAGAGTGGGCCATGTCGGAGAAAACCAGGTGGAATAAAATGCACTCACTCCATTCTCGGTGGTGGTGGCCCATTGGCTCGCCGGTTGACGATTTCGTCTCCGGTCTAGAGAATATTTGGGTCCGTCTCCTCTGATCGCATCAACACTGCAAGATTCTTTTTAGAGCTACTTTTTGAGCTGAGTAATGCTAAGCCATTTTTTTAGGCGCACATAACCTAGTCACAATTATAACCTAAAGCTCTTCCTTCAGATATGCTGGTTAAATGTGACGATTTTTTCTTCGCAAAGCGAGCCAAGGGCACCCACTCTTATTTAACACATCAGAACACAAAAGAGCAAGAGATACAAAGTGCAAGACAAGATTTACGAGTGTAACGGAGAGCAATCGATGACCTAAATTGCTACCAAGTTATTTATTATGACTGAGCTGCTAAAAGTTTCTAGTTACTTTTTCGAACATGCCCCAAAAATTCACTACTCAAACTTTATCAGTCCGTAAGTTATACAAGGTACAGGCAAGTTTCAAATGTTGTGTACAATTTTATTAATATCCTTCCTTTCTAAATTAATTACATGCAGTCCACATTTTTTTAACGTTAGTTAATTTTCTAAATTACATTTACCTCGAAAAATACAAAAATTATGTCGCTCCCATGTGGGACGCAATTTTTCATTATTTCGAAGCCCCATTCCAGCTTTTGCCGGGGGCCGCAATATAGCATGACGGTTAAACGTGGTTTCTGGGACCTCTCCACGGGTAATCCTCATCCGCATTGTGGCACTTTGTTTCTCCGGGTGTTTATCGCTCTGTGTGATGTCCTGGTGGGGTTAAACTTACTAAACTTAGCTTAATTAATGAAGGTAAAATAGTAAGGCAATGTAGAACCAGGAAGCTCTGTCGCCCCACAGTAGGTACACTGAGTAGGGGTTAGTTGTTAGATGCACGGAGGAGAATGTGTCCATTAACTACCTACCGAAAGAAGTATAGATATATATATCTCTTTTGCCACTTCTTCTTTTGTTGAAATGATTTGTACTACTACACATCTTCTTCTCGAAGTCCATACCTTTTGGTGTCGTTAGTCATGTCTAACCTCAACCTCTAGTCTCGTGTACTTTCAATCATACATACATACATACATACATACATACATACATACATACATACATACATACATACATACATACATACATACATACATACATACATACATACATACATACCATACATACAATACATACATACATACATACATACAACATACATACATACATACATACATACATACATACATACATACATACATACATACATACATACATACATACATACATACATACATACATACATACATACATCATCATACATACATACATACATACATACATACATACATACATACATACATACATACATACATACATACATACATACATACATACATACATACATACATACATACATACATACATACATACATACATACATACATACATACATACATACATACATACATACATACATACATACATACATACATACATACATACATACATACATACATACATACATACATACATACATACATACATACATACATACATACATACATACATACATACATACATACATACATACATACATACATACAACATACATACATACATACATACATACAGACATACATACATACAGTACATACATACATACATACATACATACATACATACATACATACATACATACATACATACATACATACATTCATACATACATACATACATTACATACATACATACATACATACATACATACATACATACATACATACATACATACATACATACATACATACATACATACATACATACATACATACATACATACATACATACATACATACATACATACATACATACATACATACATACATACTAACATACATACATACATACATACATACATACATACATACATACATACATACATACATACATACATACATACATACATACATACATACATACATACATACATGACATACATACATACATACATACATACATACATACATACATACATACATACATACATACATACATACATACATACATACATACATACATACATACATACATACATACATACATACATACATACATACATACATACATACATACATACATACATACATACATACATACATACATATCATACAGACATCATACATACATACATACATACATACATACATACATACATACATACATACATACATACATACATACATACATACATACATACATACATACATACATACATTACATACATACATACATACATACATACATACATACATACATACATACATACATACATACATACATACATACATACATACATACATACATACATACATACATACATACATACATACATACATACATACATACATACATACATACATACATACATACATACATACATACATACATACATACATACATACATACATACATACATACATACATACATACATACATACATACATACATACATACATACATACATACATACATACATACATACATACATACAGACATACATACATACATACATACATACATACATACATACATACATACATACATACATACATGACATACATACATACATACATACATACATACATACATACATACATACATACATACATACATACATACATACATACATACATACATACATACATACATACATACATACATACATACATCATACATACATACATACATACATACCATACATACATACATACATACAT